TTACCTTTTAACTAATATCACTCCTTTGCCTTTTTTACTTCAGTCATCTTTATTCATGCTTACTAATAGCATGACAAGTGATCTATGAGTTGACAGTAGAAAGAACTATTTGGGTCCTTTAATTCAAATTCTGACCTTCTCGGATTTTTTTCATGATCTTGGAAAATGATGAGAGGTTCATAAAGTTGGTTCATTCATTTGCAAAACAAGAAGTATATAATAATTGACAAGTCAGAAGGGAAAAATGTGAAAATGAGAAAAAAAAATAATAAAATAATAAAATAAAAAACCATGAACATCTTTCCACAACCGAATTCACATTGGCCGTGTTCAGTTTATTACCTGTAATTCTTTAAGAGACGAAGCTTCTAATAGAATTCGATAAATTCAAGTTTCAACCTTTCTTCAACTTTTCTTAGCTCCTCTTTATTAAAACTCAAGTCCTTTTCCTTGGAATCCTTCAGAACACCTTTTATAGTTGATATTGGACTTTCAAGTGTATTGTTAATCTTCACATGATCAAGGATTTCTAGTGGATCTGGTTTGTAATCACTGGCATTCACCTCCTCTCCACAAACATTAGTAGAATCTAGAGTGACTATGGTATTGACCTTTAGAGAAGTATACTCATCTTGTTGACAATTAGCATCCATGTTCATTCTATGTGTAAAATCCATATTCTCCCTTCCTGCATATGTGGCATGTAATAATGAAATTTAAGGATAAAGTGATCCTTTGAGTGTAAGAAGTTTATTATGATATGAATCAAAACTGCATCACCACTTTCTAGCCGACATTTATCATTCTTCTGAACTTCTCGTCTCACATCCATATGACCTATTCCTGCACATTTGGCATGGAAATATGAATTGAGATTTCAAAGGGAAGCCAACAGTGGCTAATTCTCATAAAATATAGGTAAATTACCAATAGATCTTACTTTTGGAACGTATTACCCATTAAATCATATTGATAAATTTATCATCAATCTCTTATTTTTATAAATAAATTTTACAGTGATAAATTTATCAATAGATAAATAAGTCTAGTTAAGTGCTCCTAAAAATATCAAACAGGAGACAAAAAAAAAAAAAAAAAATTGATTCCAGATTTTTAGATTTAACTAACTTAAACTTCATCACATTTGGCATGTTTGGATGTCTAGCAAAATAAATAAATCAATAAATCCTTTCCGGTCTTCCATATACCAAGAAAGACCCCTTTTTCTGTAGGTTAATATATATTTTTATCGAATTTACTTAATGAAAATAGATAAATGATTTAAATTGATAAAAAAAAAAAGAGGGATTGATCAATAAGTCCCATATCTTAAGGAACCCTGTATTTGTATGATATAAATTATGGGGTTAAATTTGATATTGCTTATCTTGTGTCTGAATAATTACTATACTGTGACTATTTTTGTAGTGACAATGCTTATTTTTGTGGACATTGCATTTTAAAATTTGCGTTTAGAAAGTTAACAAAGATATAATTCACAACTTTTCAACATTTATTTCTCCAAATGTTATGCAAAAATTGTTTCGAACCTTTGCATCCGAACTATGTCAAACTTTTCATTCACCATGGCTCTGCAGCTTTGTTCAAATGTGAACAATCTTCTTGCTGTTATCTCATCTTATTATAGGATAGTATTTGACCTTTCCCAAGACTCAGTAGGCTAGACTTTTGTAGGATGTGTGATTGAGTTTGAAATTGTCTAAAGGACAAGCTGTCTGCCAAAAAAAAAAAAAAAGTTTAGATACATTATTGATTAACGTAATTTCACCTCCCTTGAGATTTGGAGGAAATATAGTTAGCCCCACAAGTTTGACATAATTATATTAGGTGCCCTTAGGATGGTAACTAACTTTTGGCTGATTTGCAAAGAACCTGCAAAATGCACCAGAGAACATTGTGCAATGTCATAATACAGACAAGAAAATTTTAGTCTGAAATATTTCACGTTCTGTAACGTTCAACTATCTACATGAAGCATGGATTCTTCTAAAAAGGTTCCATGTCCATGTTGGACATGTGTTGGGCACCCATTCAGACATGCCCTATTATATTTTTAGACGTTTTTAGGTGGACTTTGGACATTTAGAATACATGTCTATCTCGTAGACACACATAAACACATTGTTAGTTTGGATTTGATATCCCTTTACAAGGAAAAAATACTTACAATCTCCAATCAATTGTGTGTACTAGTACTTGACCTCAAAACCTCCAAACTTGGAGGTTACCTCTTGCAGAATTCTGAGTTTGAACAAGTTCTCTCTCAAGAGCAACCCCTGCCCCCTCTCTTCTGGCAGCCTACGTTCATTCCAAAATCTGACCCTATATGTCCTCTGACAATTACATATGTTCAAGGAACTTCTTCATAAGTATTCCTGCTCTGGGTGTTGTGTCTGGTTGTTGTCTCAGTAATATCAGATGCCTGCTCTGCATAAGTATTCCTGCTCTGCATAAGGTGGGACAAATAGGTGACACGTGTATAATTAGGTGATATTTGGACAAGTAATTAGAAAAGTACGTGACATGTGTACAGATAAATAACATTTGAACGTATAGATAAATTTTTGGACAGATAACCTCTTTTTCATTTGAACACGTGTATAATTTTTTTTTCATTCGAGGGTATAACCTCCTTTTGCTTTCTATTGATGTTTTTATTTTCACTACCATTTTCATTTATATTAAAAAAAATTAATTTGCTTGGTAGGGATATACATAATATCACTTTTTCCTGAATAATTTTTGATAGGGATATCCCCTAGTATATCAAAAAATTTGCCCCTATGTTTATGTGTGTTGTAATTATAAGAACTCTCTCGATTCTTATTTACTTGGAATGGTGATCCATAAATATATGGGTCCCTCTTATTTTCATAATTAATAGATCTATAAGATGAAAGATTATATCTATAGTATTTTTGAAAATTCTCATTTTGATTTGGTAATGAATATACTTCGTAGTCGTTTTGTTTTTTGTAATGAATTAATAGGTCTTTTTCATATGAATTCTCTTTGTTTAAATATTGATTTTGAATTGTACGACATTGATTCATTCTATTTTTCCATTTTGTTGCTATTAATCTAGACCATCTAATCTGAGATAAATGGTATTGATAATGACCTTTTAACCAGTTTTTCCATTGATTTAGTCCAGAATTCCAAAGTTTCTTAGGTCTTAATTCATAATGAATTATGCCTTGTTTTCCAAAATAATCTTTTATTGAAGTCTTAAGAAAAAAAAGGCGTTCCGTGATATTGAAGAATAGATCTTAACTTATACAAGGAGGATAAGTCAAAAAAATTCTGTGAATTCTAATTACTAACATTATATATAGTTGAAATAAAATTCATTTTATTTTTATTTGTTTTATTAATTCTTTGCTATAAAGTTATAAGTTTGATTAATTATTTGGTATAAGTTGGACAGTGTATAAAGTTATACTTGCGGGTGTGTTTTAGAGCAATCCAAGTACCTAAAAATAACCCAAGTCAATTAAGAAAAATACCAAAGAACCCAAATGAATTGCCTTAATGAGTCTCCATATATTTTTATTTATTTGCTTTTTCCTTTTCTTTGTTTCTATTTTATTGTGTTTCTATTGATCAACCAATATTTTGATTGTTGATTACAGAATCATTCTCTATTTATTTTGATTTTCAATAACTATGTCATTAATGGCAAGTTATTGAATGTTTTCAATAACTATGTCATTAAATCTATGTACATTATTCTATTATTGTTTGTGTCTGTTATTTGCTCTTTTACAAAATTCTCTTATGTGATTTTAGGAATTTTCATTCATTTTATAAGATAATGTTATTCTTGTCGTATTGTTTTTGATGTAGTTATCATGGATCCTTTTGGATGTACCAAATTTGAGCGTAAGCTTGAAGATGATGAAGTTTGTGGGAATAAAGGAGAATTAGGTTCCCATGCAAATGACCCTATTCAAAGTTTAACCAAGAATGATGTTCTTGAAATGCAATTCAATTCAGAAGAGGATGCCAATGATTTCTATAATCAATATGCTAAAGTTGTGGGATTTAGCATTAGGAAAGACACGCGAACAATGCAGGCAACAAAGGTTCTTAGTAGAAAATAGGTATGCTCAAGGCAAGGCCAAAGAGCAAAGCAACACTTGGCCCGTATTGATCGAAAAAGAGCTGCCAGGGCATTGACTAGAGTTGGTTGTGATGCTCATTTCCGCATAAGGTACAATCTGGATGTAGGCAAATACATTGCCACTCACTTTAACATGGAACATAACCATCCATTGGCAACATCACCATGTGTGCCATTTCTTCGGTCGCATAGGTTTGTAAAGATCCCCGACAAAGCTCAAGTAAAAACTTTGCACGATGTTGGTGTCAAGACAAGCTAGATAATGGATTTGTTGGTGCAACAATCTGGGTCTTTCGCGAATGTGGGCTTTATTCACAAGGATTTGCACAATTATATTCAAGCCGAGTGCAAAGTAGAAATGAAGGATGATGATGCGGAGTGTGCTTTGGCTTACTTATGTGCAAAAGCTGATGCTGATCCTTACTTCTTTTACAAGTATGACAAGGATCAAGAGAATCGGCTTGACAAATTGTTTTGGGCAGATTCAAGGTCTCGCCTAGACTATGCTGCATTTGGTGACGCGTTGGTCTTCGATACAACTTATAAAATGAATGCATATAACAAACCTTTTGTTATTTTCGCCGGGGTCAATAACCATTTTGAAACCACCATATTTGCATGCAGCTTGCTTGTTGATGAGACAATTGCAACATACACATGGGTTTTGCAAAAGTTGTTAGAGGCCATGGATAACAAAAGACCGGTGTCAGTGTTGACAGATGGGGATATGGCCATGCGTGAGGCAATACAAAATGTCTTCCCGAGTGCCAAGCATCATCTATGTAATTGGCATATGCACAGAAATGCCAAGTGAAATGTTCGAGTTGATGGATTCGAGGGACATTTCAAGCATCTCATGGATCTTGATGCGAATGGGGTTGTATTTGAGGAAGCTTGGAGTAAGATGGTTAGAAAATATGGCCTTCAAAATAACAAGTGGGTATTAGACACCTACAACAACAAAGGCATGTGGGCTCAGTCATATTTGCGTGGTCATTTTTTTGCTGGAATGAAGAGCAGTCAGCGTTGTGAGGGTATGCATGCTTTTTTCAATGAGCACCTCAAACGAAAAATGAAACTATTCGAATTTGTTAGATGTTTTGACATGGCCCTTTATCGGTTACGGAACAAAGAAGCGGATGCCGAGGCAAAAACTGACAACAGTGATCCTTGTCTTACCACAGCACTTCAACCTCTAGAGAAACATGCAGCAACCATCTTTACCAGACGTTTGTTCTTAATGTTCCGTAATGAAATAATTGAGGAAGCATTGTTGATTTTTGATGGAAGGAAAGAGGAGTTCGATCATCGCATATACAAATTTTCAAAGTACACTGAATTTGGTTCCACATGGGAAGTGTCATACCATCCCGCAACTAGCATAATGAAATGTAGCTGCAAAAAGTTTGAGTTCTTTGGACTTCCTTGCAGCCACATGATTTCTGTGATGAAATGCGAACACATGACTGAAATTCTCCCAAGTTGTGTGATGTATCGTTGGACAAAGCAAGCAAGAAAGGTTGGTAAGCAACATTGCCAAGCCTAATTCTCTAGCACTCTTACACAGGAGACACGTTTTGGGGTTCTTTGCTCTTTTTTTACTGAAATGTGTTACTATGCCTCACAAACATCTGAAGGATTTGAAGAGGCTAGGAATGCATTTTTCACTATGACATGTCGGATGAAGCAGCTTTGCATGGCCAAGGGAACTAATGTTGATGAAGGAAAAAGTTCACTGCCGCCATTTGGGGTTGGGGATCCGAAAGTAGTGAACACGAAGGGGAATACTGGGGGATCCTACATGGCTAAACCTCGAAAGCCAAGGCGATGCCAATGTTGCAGGTATACATTATATTGTGCTTTGTGTCTTAATTTTGTTATTGTGAGGTAGTCTTGGCATTTCTGTTCTCTTTAATGATTGGTGATTTACTTGACAATGTCGGGTCGTCGGCCACACAAGGAGAACTTGCCCCCAAAACGATCATAAAACGGGACAAGTGGGTAGCAATTTGTTTGAGGAATATGATGATTATTATCCAATTGGTACCCCCACCCCTTTTACACCGAAGCGTCCCAGGAATAATATGAGGCCATGTAAGACCCACCCTGTGAAGAGACGACTTTTTGTCACTAATGTGGATGCATCTCCAGTGCAGTTGAGCAAGGATGTTAATGACTTGCGTAGTTGCGATGCACAAGTCGTCCAAAATTCAGCGTTCACTGATGCGGATACGTCTCTAGGTGATTACTTTTATGGCATCTTTTCAGTTCAAATTATGTTCATTTTGCTTACATTTGTTTTGCAAATTTCATGTGTGGCTGCTTAATTCTAATTTCTTGATATGCCAAGATAGATTTTAGCTAGAACATTTAGATGTCATAACTAATTATGATGTTTACAACTTGATTATGAAAATAAATAATTTACGAACAGAAAATGACAAAAGAGTGTAATGACCAATATATCAAAATTCAATTTGTTATGATTTGAATCATAGATTTCAAGTGAACAAACCTTAACGACAATATAATTTGTTTATGCAAGTGTTGCTGTGGGTAATAGTTGATATGATCGAGCCGGGAGCTAAACTAAGATTTTTTTTTAAAAAAATTTTGAGGACTTAAATCTGTTAGTATTTTGTATAAATACTCTTAAATGATGGTTGATGGATATTTGTTTTGCTGTATGGAAGTTCATATTTTGTATGCACACTTCTTTTTTTTCTTGAAGAAAGAATTTTGTAAGGAATTATCATTCACCAAACGAGGTTGTAAGAAATCCTACACTACCTTGCAGTAGTAACTCGCTTTTCAATATTGTTGATCTTCCGTCCAGGTTCATCAAAAGAGTTGAATTGAATAAATAGTTGTATGGACTTGATGAAGACTAGAAGAAAAACTTTGCAATATTATTTGGATGTGATTGATGGTATAAATGGAAAGAATATTTTTGTTTCTACGTAAAATATTTTTTTTAATGCATCGATTTTATATAGAAAAATATTATTTTTATTTTTCGGCATTTGGTTGACACTTGAAACAAAAATATTTTATTACTTAATTTAGAAATTTTGATTTAATAAAGTGTAATTCATGACTTTTTAGTGAGTTAATATATTTATTTGAAAAAGGTGTTGAAAAAATAGTGAGTGAGAATCTATTTTATAAAAATTAACTTACGAAATTTTAAAAGGTAAGTCATTTTTTTAAAAATGATACAAAAATATTTTGCTTAAAAAATATTTTACTTACTTTTTATTTAGTCAAATAACAAACAAATATTTAAATGTTTTACGTTAAAATAAAGGGAACCTAAATTACCAGCTGCTTCCATATCTCTATGTAAGCCCCCATATCTTATCCATATAAGATTGTGATTCACGTTATCATATGTATAGATCTAATTTAATTTATAATTTATTAGAATTCATAAAACTATAATTTATTAGAGATTCAGAAAAACGAATGTTCAAGTTTTCAACCCAACTACCACGGCCTGCGTTGTCAACCACATGGCAAAGGAGTGAATTTATTTAAACAATTTAAAGTAATGATAGGGATCATAAAAATGGTTATGAAAGATTTTTTGTCGTTACATCACATATATAATAAAATATCTCACATTAATCAAAGAACGAAAATTTTTTATAAAATATTTTATGATATTTTTTCGTGATTTCTAATATTATTTTTTTTTATTAGTTGAATTAAAAGAGTGTTCCTGTAAATAATGTAAAATTAACTAACGGGATATTGAATTAAGAGAGTAGTTCAATAAATAATGTGAAATTAACTAATGAGAGAGTTAGGGGTGTAAATTTGGCCCCCAGCCCATGTTGTGCAATAGGAAAGATCTATGCCAAACTCACCCTCTTATGTCTCAATTTAACGCTTTTTTTTTTTTAAATCCTTTTGGTTGACAAATTAAGCTGCTAAGGCTCCCTTTATTTATTATTTATTTTAAATGGTTAAAAAGTCATCAACAAATGAAAGGAAAACATCACAAGAAACAAGCATTGATCATCAACAAATGGTAGGTTATTCATGCAATCAGACATATCAGTGAGCTACCAAGCAGGTGGGGTATGTGATGTAATTTGGCAATGTTCTTCAATTAAATTCAATAGCTAAGTTTGGCAATGTCCCCAATTTGGCATGAGCATTGACAGACCATTGTAGTGGAGTTTTAGAGAGGTCTTTGTTATAATTTGACTTTGGCTGCTATAATAGCATCCCACTGCTGTAATGCTGTAACGCCCTCAAATTAAACCCATAATATACATAACTTTAACATGCATTAATAAAGGAAAACGAATCATTTGAGTTATTCATCAGAGTACTTTTATTGAAAGACATCACATGTAACATCAAAATAAATGCCCTAAGGGTTTACATCTTTCCAAGCTAACACTTGGACACAAAAGAATGAGTACTAACTCAATTACAAATTTAGCCCTTGGCTTGAATGTTTACATGTAATCTCAAATAAAAACAAATAACTAAAGACAAGTCCTCAAAGTCCAAATCCTACCAAGCTAAGTCCTTGGAGGTAGCATATCACCTGGACCTGAAAATGATGTTCCCGTATAGGGTGAGCCACAGCCCAGTAGAAATATACTAAACCAAATATAAGCATTGAATAAAGTAATGGCATTCAATAGATGGTTAACCAAGATAATCAATTGTATCATTAAACAGTCTCATGACACTAATGTCTAGGACACATTTCACTTTCCATTATTGTCAACATGGCTCAGAACCTGGCCAAACTTACTACAGTGCACTATATATCATATTCACATTATTTTCAACATCAACAAAACAAATGAGACTCAGGCTCATATCAAAACACTTCATACTTCCCGTTTGATACACATTTTAGTGCTGTATCAATAACATGTAAAAACACAAATAAGCACACATAAAAGTGATGCTAATGGAGTCCATCCCCTATCTACT